CTCAAATTAGAAGGTGGATTATGTGACACAAATATTTTAATTAGGTTCTTGTGGTAGCAATTAAGAAAAATTTTCTTGAATGCTTTGATCACTGGGTGTAACAAGGGCGTTAATAAGAGGGTCTTCTCTTTAAGAAGGGTGATATAAGATGTAGAAATAAGTCACTGACTTAAGCTCCCTTGAAGTGTGCTCGACTGTGTGGAAGCGCTTGTAATTTTCAAATATAAACATGGGGGAAGTTAGAATTTGAGAAATGTGTTGTTGAATTAAAGGAATGATAGAGAACAGGAGATTCACAATTTAAATTATAATATGGTTAACATGTTAACAGTTTCTTAGGCGACTAGTAACTGTCAGTGAAAAGCTAGGGCTAGTAATTAATAAAAAAAAAAACCAACCTGATGATCGTTGACCGTTTCGCTTCCATCCAACGTTTAGATGCACTAAAGGAATACGAGACCGTAGATGAGTACTTGTATCTTGGGTCAATCATCAGCAACAGAGGAAACAGTGAACCTCAAATACGACGACGCATTGGTATGGCAAAAACTGCCATGACACTACTAGCGAAATTATTCAAGGACAGAAACATTGGCAATATAACAAAGATAAATATGACAATATAACAAGGTTATATGTAATAACTATATGTATCTTTGCATGCTAGTTTTCTCCATATTTTTTAATGATGCCGAAGCCTGGACGCTTAAAGCCTTTGACAGGCAAAGAATTGACGCTTTTGAAATGTGGTGTTGACATCGGCTATAGAGAATTCCCTGGACTGCACATCACACGAACGTATCCGTGCTTGAGGAATTGCAGTTGCAAAATCACAAACACTGATCCTCCGTGTTTGCACAGCACTCTGCAATTATTTGGTCACATTCCACGCAGAAGCGCTGATAGTCTCGAGAGAGTTATTATTACGCGCAGGATAGAAGGCACACGATCTAGAGGTCGGAGTTCGAAACGGTGTGACCAGGTGGTTTAAAGTTTGGCAGTACCAGTGAGTGTCTCATTCCATCTAGCCAAAGACAGAGTGCAGTGGAGAAGATTGGTTGACGGTGTACTTGCTCAAAGCCACGATCCTCAGCAGTGAGGAACTGATGGAGGAGAAGCAACATGTCTACAGTCAGCGTCGAAGTGATTTGATGGACAAATTAAGGACAAATCAATTTTACCTATACTTACCTTCAGAGTTTTTACGATATATATAATATATATAATATATATATATATATATATATATATATATATAATATATATGTATATATATATATATATAATATATGTATATATGTATATATATATATATATGAAACGGAATAATGCTCATTGTACTGTAACTGTTGTACTGAGTGCTCGAAATATCTGAACATTAAATTAAAAAGAGCCATAATTATATTTAAGTCGTAGGCATTCGTCGAGATGAGCCAGCAGTCTCTTTCTGTGAACCGGAGATGCTCCAGGAACTCGCCGAGAGTGATTGAGAAAGGGCCGTGAGACGTACGAATGTCTACCTTCGCGACTCAGGGCGTTCGGAGATAGGCCTCAGATCACTTATAAGCTTGGGAGCTGCGAGGAGGGTACATAACGAACCAGTGTGGCCGGCTTTGTCGGATACCCGGTGAGGGGGAGAGCGTTGCTCCTTACAAATGCAGGGGGGTTAGGATGCGCGAAATCAGTCCCCGATCTCACATATTTTGAGCACTCGGGTAGGCCTCCGTGGGGCTTTAGCCAGTGTAAGTCCGGCATAATCTCTTTGCTGATCCCGAGGCGAGCAGGTAACCGTGAGGATTTCCTCACGAAACAAAGGGTTAAGATTAAATAATAATGAAAATGAGAAATAAAGTAGGAAATTACATTACGTTACCGTAAAATCGACATATAATGCAATAAAACATATTTACGAACTGTTATAATATATCTGTAAGAAATAAAAGATTTTCCACAATGATAAATGTCAATTTTTGCTGCGATTCTACGTTTCGTATAACTTTTCCAGTTCAATATCGTTTAATGTACCTTTGTACGGTGTTCCATACACTTATAAATGATAGTATTATAACTGTTAAGAATGTTTATTAGTTTTGATTTACAACTAATAATGATACATTTGATAGGTGTGAAATGAGTACACTGCGCGATGGCTGATTGTGAACTAAATATAAATTATAACTAAATGTCGCATGAATACGTAAAATGCCGCATAAACACAATGTACGATATTGCACCGTACATGCTCCGGGCAGGAGAAAAATAACAATGAAAAATAAGTAAATATAAAAAGAAAGTAGTAAGAAAAAATAAGTATTACATTACATGACGTGAGTAAAACATTATACAAACAAAGCGAATACTTATTAAAATCTACTGATTAAAATGTTTGCGAAAGACAGGCGAGGTTGCCTTATTAAGTGCGCATGCACTAAGTCGATTCGTGTGACGCGCGGAGTCACGTTGCGAGACAGCGCTTCCTTCGGGGACAGCGACGGTGGCAAGGGAGCGGCTCGGTGTCGCAAAGTCAGCGGCGGCGAGAGGTCCGTGGGTACGAACTAATGACGACATGCGTGCGATGCATGCAGAGCAGCGACGTCGATCCCGCAGGCGGCGCCATGCGTAGATCGCGCCTGTGCATACAACAGCAGCTACTAACACATATATGACAACGTACTGATGTACGTCATGGTAGGATGTGTGATCTTCAAGTACATCCTGGGATTCTTCCATCTTCATTTGCTGTATCTGCTCTTCTAAGACCTTTATCTGCTTTTTAAACATTTGATCGCTGTCTTTTTCTGCGTTATAGTCGTTGACCGAGATGGAAATGTTGATGATATGATTGAAAGGAGGAATTTCGACCGTCAAGATGTCTGCTTCAGCGTTCAAATCATTGTTTCGTGTTTTGTGAGAGTATATTGTAAAGGCTTTGTCCTTGATAATGCAGCCTTCACCCAGGGATATAACTCCAGCAGCATTAAGCTGTTCGGCAGTAACTTGACTCCCACAAATTATGCGTACGGTACATTGACCGCAACAGAAAAATAGGTATGTATTGACCTTACTGAGTTCTAACCACATGGTCTTGCACTTGACAGTGGTTACAAGACATTGTTTAGCTTCGTTATCCCATATGCAGAGACTGTTATCCGACTTTATCAGGTACGTTGGTCTTCGCAAAGGACACAGGTAAGTATCTACTTCGAATGGAATACATTTGTGAAGATCATCTTCGTTCATTGTTAAGTACGAATCTTTGTGCATGTTTATGGCTATAAGACTTGCTATCGATGTTAGGGTGACCATATTTTCTTGCGCCTTTATTGGGACGGCGATTATCCTGTAGATTTCAAACTGCTCTCGGAAGATTAGAGGTATTTTTATTTCAAATATAAAAAATGACTTAGTCATTTTTGCTCTGACTTTCAGCAAGTGGTAGATCTTCCGTAATTCAGAATGCATGTTGCTTATAGGTAGTGTTAGTTCCTTTGACAACTGTCCTGATACTATGTTCAGTTCATCTCGTAGTTGTTCAGGTGTAATGAGATGAATATTGAACGAGCCATAATGAGTATTTGAGATTGTGTCCAATAACGTATCTTGAATGCTCTTCAGATTAATCAAAACGTTGTTAGCGATGATAGCTGCTAATACAAAGTCGTTGTTGTTTGAGACATTGGATATCTCTGCTTGGAGAGTGTTCATTGCTTTTTCCAAGTCATTTATGTGCTGATTGACGAGCTTGTGTTGTTTGTCAAAAGTGGACTCTACTCTTTTCAGTAGGTTAAATTGGGCTTCTACTACAGAAGTTTGATTTTTCCATAATTTGGCGAGATGCTTCTCATTGTCTCTAAGTAATTCGATATCCTTTTGATATTGTTCGGCGAACTGGTTGTCGAGTACTCCGAATAAGGAATGTGCAATGTTGCCTATGCCATTGATAAGGCCACGGCGCACGCGCACGCGAGAGTTCATAGTGTCGAATTGCTGTCCGAGCAACATATGATCGTAGTACTCCAGTTCCTTGAATGAGTGACGTAATTGTAATAGGACTACGTCACATTGTGCGGGCTTCTTGGCTTTGTAGCATATGTTCGCTAAGTTATTCATATGAGTTGTAAATAGTGATACACCTTGCCAATAAGGATTCATATCATAGTAGACAATTAGTTTCCATTCGTCGCGAATTAAATTCATATTCGAAATCTTGTCGAAATAAATCCCTTGATTAGCTTTCAGGCTTTCTAAATTGTAGGCACCGTGCGACGGTGATATAAGCATAAAGGTGAGCAGCGCTATAGCCATTGTGATAAGGCTATTTGATAATTTGCCGCGCGCTTTATTTGTTTTGTTATTTCAAACTTGCGATGTTTTTGGTTTCAGATGGTTTTCTACTTCGCCGCTGCAAGTGTTGATAGGCAATGGTGACAATTTAGTGATAGGTCGTCGGATAAAACCGTTTTTTGTTTTTATTGTCACCACGCGGACCAGTCCGTCCCTGCCGGGATGAAGTTCAGTAACCCTGCCGAGAGCCCACTTCCCAGGGGGTAAGTTAGCATCATGGAGTATGACAATGTCGTTCACTAGCTGATTTCGCTGCGGGCGATGCCACTTAGTGCGTGGGGATAATTGACATAGGTATTCTACTTGCCATCGTCTCCATATGTCATTAAAAATTTTCTGCGTTAGCTGCCATCTGGTTCTTTCGTCACGTTCTGTCTCAATAATAGTGAGAGTGGGACCGCTCGCTAGAAAATGGGATGGAGTTAAAAAACTCATTTAATCAGTGTCTTCTGACAATGCGCATAGAGGTCTTGAATTTAGACAGGCCTCTAACTGTGATAGTAATGTGGTGAACTCTTCAAAAGTCAATTTTTGTTCACCGATGACTCGTCGCAGATGATATTTTAAACTCTTTACTGCGGCTTCCCAGAGTCCTCCAGCGCTAGGCCATGATGGTGCGTTGAAGTGAAATTCGATCTGCATGTCTGTTATTTGTGTTAAGAACTCGTCGTCGAGTTTTTTTTGTAGGTTGATGTAGTTTTGTTGTAGAATTCTGTTCCTACAAAATTTGTACCATTGTCGCAGTAGACATGACGTGGTGCTCCACGACGTGCTGCCATCCTGCGCAAGGCTGCTATGAATGCTGTTGCTGATAGGTCGGAAACAAGTTCTAAATGCACGGCCTTTGTCACCATGCAAACGAATACAGCAATGTAGCCCTTTGTTGTTTTGACGCCGCGACCTTTGTTAGCCTTTACGTCTACACAGCCTGTGAAGTCGACACCTGTGTTGTAGAATGGTCTTGTTGGGTTTGATCTCGCGGCTGGTAAATCACCCATTTGCTGTGTTTGCTTAAGTGGATCATGTCTTCTGCACGTTACGCAATTACGTAGATGCTTTTTCACAGCTCGGTTTCCCCCCACAATCCAATAGTGCTGTCGCAGGCGAGCTTGAGTTAGACGGGCTCCTCCATGGAATGTGTCTCTGTGGGCTTGATCAATTAGCAAGTTTGTCAGATGACTGCTGTGTGGAATGACCAATGGGTGTTTCATGCTATCATCAATATTAGCATGTTTAATCCGTCCACCGACTCTTAACAACCCAGTATGATCTATATATGGATTTAAGTTAAAAATCTTGCTCTTTGAGGATAACTTGTCTTGATTTCGTAGGCTGCTGATTTCGGAGGTGAATTCTGTTTGTTGAACTCTCTCTACAATTTTGATTTTTGCTCTCTCAAGTTCCTCGATTGATAGATAAGATTGCTTGGGTCGGTTGCGTGTTACGGCTCGCAGTACCCAGCCCAGCACTCGAGTGGCGCGTGTAATGCTGCTGTACTTATGTATTATGTCATTTACGATGTCGGCGCGTTGCTCCGTCGCGACGTTTGATAGTAATGATGTTTTAATTTCTTCATCAGTGACGTAGATATGACGTTCAGCTGGTTCTTGATTTTGTGTAAATGACTGTAACCACGACGGCCCAGTCCACCACAATGGATGCTGTTTCAGTTGATCTACTGAGATGCCTCTGCTCGCACAGTCTGCTGGGTTGTCACCTGATTTGACGTGCTGCCAGCATTCTGCAGGCATTACTACAGTTATTTGTTGAACCCTGTTCGCTACGAATGCTTTCCAGCGGTTAGGATCACCTTGGAGCCAACCAAGTGCTGCTGTAGAGTCTGTCCACCCAAACACAGTGATATGATGGCCAGATAGACTGTCTTGAACTGTCTTCATAAGCTTTGATAGCAAAAGACATGCAGTTAGTTCTAAACGCGGGAGGGTCACAGTCTTTTTGACAGGAACTAGTCTAGCTTTTGCCGCTGCTATCACGATCGAGGGCTGTTGATTAGAGTTGCGTGGTTGCTTATTGTTTTTGCAGCTTATTGAGTTTACACAAGCATAAGCTTTTGTAGACGCGTCACAAAACCCATGTAACTCAATGCTTTCATTCCGGCTACTTCCAAACCATCTTGGAATTTTTATTTGATTGATATCTTCTAGTTCTTTTCTGATTTTATGCCATTCCATGCTCATGTTGTCTGGTAACTGGTCATTCCATTGCACGTCTTCCAGTAGCCATACTTTTTGAAATAGATGTTTCAGTGTGGTAGTTACGGGAGAGAGCCACCCCAATCGGATCGAAAACCTGGGATATTTCAGATAATAGGATTCTCTTGCTTATTGGCTTTGATGATGATGGTTTCAGTATTATTTCAAATGAAAACTGATCACGTTGTGGATTCCATCGGAGCCCTAATGCTTTGGTGGAGTCCTGGTGTTTGAAATCAAATGGCTGCTGCTGATTGCTGCCTGCTGTGCTGACTCCTTGTACTAATTCAACTTCGTTTGATGACCATTTTCGGAGATTGAATCCTCCCGATTTGAGTAAATTAATCAAATCTGCTTGTAATTGCCTAGCGGCCTCAATGCTGTGGCTTCCACTGAGGAGGTCATCCATGTAAAACTCTTCCTCTAGTGCTTTTGCTGCAGAAGGATACTTGAAGCCTTCATCTATTGCCAATTGCTTTAATGTCCTCATGGCGAGAAAGGGTGCTGCCTTAGTGCCATAAGTTACAGTTGTACTGTAAAGTTGTTAGTACGTACTCACGTAACAGTTGATCTGTAGAATCTCTCCAAATGATTTTTTGAAGATGTTGATCCTTTTCGTGAACAAGTATTTGTCTAAACATCTTCTCGATGTCAGCTGTGAAAGCAATCTTATACCGCCTCCACCTTAAAATCAATGATAGTAAATCTGACTGTAAGTTAAGTCCACAGTACATTAAATCATTCAAGCTGCGGCCAGATGACGTAGGCGATGACGCATTGAATACGGCGCGCAATGCCGTTGTAGTGGACTCAGAACGAATTACGCAATGATGTGGCAGGTAGCAACTTGGTGTCTCGTTACTTGTACACTCACACATGTGGCCGAGATTGATATACTCATTCATAAAGTCCCTATAATCCTTTGCTATGTTTGGATTTCTTTTGAGTTTTTTCTCCAACTGAAGAAATTGTGCTACGGCTCGTCGCTTTGATTCTCCAAATTGCTCCTTGGCATCAGGTTTCATAGGGAGTCGTACGACGTAGCGACCATCTTCTTGGCGGGTCGTTTGCTGTTCGTAAAGCTGCACACATGCGTAGTCTTCTGATGACATATTAAGGGTATTATCGCCAATATCTTCAATAGACCAAAATCTTTGAATGTCTTCCATGTTGTTCAAAACTACGTTGCATTGATATGTTTTCACATTTCCACAAAGTAGCCAACCTAAATGCGTCTGCTGAGCTATAGGTTGTGATAAGTTGTCGCCTTTGATGACACCGCCCAACACGATAAGCGAATAGATGTCAGCTCCGAGGAGCAGGTCTACAGGACGACTGTTGTGAAACTCAGGGTCAGCTAGAGTTATATTTTGTATGTGTGACCAAGATGGCTTCTCAAAAGTTTGATTTGGTAAATTGTTGATGAGATTTCGCATAATAAATACATCTGAATTGAAAGTGAAATCTCCATGCAATGCGGACATGGTTATCTCCATGACGCCCTTGCAGTTGTTTTCTCTTGCTCCGAGGCCAAAAACTACACCTTTACAGCGGCGTCGTGGTAAAGCTAACTTTTGAGCAGCATTTTCCGTGATGAGAGAAACCTGAGAGCCTTGATCAATAAGCGCTCTCATGGTGTAACGTGTACCGTCTGCACCTTTAACTGCAATCAGCGCTGTAGCTAATAAAATTTCAGCTGATTGATTTCTAGAAACATGTGCTGTGCTGTGTGATATAACTTGCTCGTTGTTAATTTTCGAAGTCGGCGGTTGCTGTGCCTTTGTAAAAGCATCATGTAACAAGGTGTTGTGTAACGCTGAGCATTCTCGACATGTTTTTGTAGAAAAACATTTATTGTCGGTATGATCATAAAGACAATTGGTGCAAAGTTTCAATTTATTTGCAGTTTTCAATTTCATGTCGCTTGTTAGCGACAAAAAGTTTTTACAATGAAGAATGCCATGTTTTTTGCTGTTGCAATGAGGACATGTGATCTTCGTTGACACGTGGAACGCTTTTGCAATCCGATTGTCACCTTTAGGGTTATTCTGATACTGCTGATTGAAATAAGGCTTCTTATTGTTGGATAAAGATGGTACTGCTGACTTCTGCTGTACATGGTCTTGTTTGCGACGTGAGGCTTCTAAAGAAGTGAACTTGTTCTCTAGAAACTCTAGAAACTCGGACATTATAGGGAGGTCTCGAGGGTTTTCAAGCGACTCTATATAGTCCTTGTGCGTATCTGCGTCTAATTTTTGTGTTAGAAGGTGTATGATCAGTGGATCCCAAGTAGATATATCCACACCCAGGTTCTTAATAGCATTCAGACACTCATTGGTAGTGTCATGAATCTTCTTTATGTGAGACGGCGATTGTTGTTGCATCGTCGGTAACGACATCATTATGTTGATATGTGAGCTGAATATTAATTTCGTGTTGTTGTACCTGTGGTTGAGAATATCCCAACAAACTAGGTAATTGTCCGAAGTGATTCGTAAATGTTGTATGAGTTTTTCAGCATCACCCTTGATTTTGCTTTTCAAAAATTGCATCTTCTGTGCGTTAGACATGGAATTATTATTATGAATTGATTCTGTGAATAAATCTTTGAACGACACCCATTTATGATAATCGCCATTAAAAAATGGAATGTCCATTATAGGTGTCGTTTTTTCTTTATACGTTACAGCCCACATTTTGCTATTTATTGACCGTTTGATGTCATTGTACTGATTTTCGTACGTGTTGAATGTTTCTTCATATTCTTCATTTTCTTCAACGAGCTCGCTGTCTATTTCCCAATGCAATGAGTCTATAGCTGCCCAACGAGCTTCTAAGTTTCTAAGACATCTTGATATTCCCACTTTTCTGTTAATTTTGTCAAATTTATGTTTGTAAAAGTGCGGGAAATTGCTTTAAAATTGCTCTTCTGCTTGCGTAACATTTCCTCCAATTTGCTAGGAGAGCCCTGATCGCGTCTGCTTCGTTGATATTGTTCTTCAGCAAAGAGCTCTGGTAGTGGCTCTTTTGTAGAAGGAGGATAATTGATTACCTTCGGCGTTGTAGGACGTTCGTCGTCTCTTGTTGATGGAGCAGAAATAGAATTAGTGGATGTGCCTGGCTTGTCCACTAATATTTTTTCTTTTAGATATTGCTGAAGGTATGAGCGTACTTCACCGTAGAATTGCGTTTTTTCGTAAGTATTTTTGGTAAAGTATTCGTTGCTGCGATCTTCATATTGGCACAGTTGACTATGATTGCTTCGAAATTCAACCCAGTATGCTTCTAAGGTGTCTAACCTTTTTTTGATGTTTGCTGGCGTCTTGCGGTCGGCGCCATCTTTTTTGAAATTGATCAAAAGCTGCTCAATTGCTCCTATGAGCTGATTTTGAATTGCTAATAAATTTTCCATATTGATTTGCTTACGGAAAATTGATAGTTCAGCGTAATTGTAAACTTCACGTGGTATGTGCGCCTTCTCAATCTAGCCGGTGAGACCCGCTTGTGGGAGGCCGGCTAAACCGATTCGCTACCAACGCAAAGAAATACAAATTAACACTGAAATGGCTGCTGTAGTGAGCCTGCTTGTAGCGAGAACTGTCGTGCTCTCACGTGGTTGATAGCTGCAGTGCTGATTCGATGAAACTCACACGCCGAATTTCGACGTCACGAAGGCTCGAAGGACCATTAAGATGTACGGTGTTCCATACACTTATAAATGATAGTATTATAACTGTTAAGAATGTTTATTAGTTTTGATTTACAACTAATAATGATACATTTGATAGGTGTGAAATGAGTACACTGCGCGATGGCTGATTGTGAACTAAATATAAATTATAACTAAATGTCGCATGAATACGTAAAATGCCGCACAAACACAATGTACGATATTGCACCGTACAACCTTAGAGATACAGAAAATGCAACACACTTCAGTGCAGTTAAGTCGTGTCACAATAACAACTTTGTACGCTGTTTGTATCCACCACTAACGTGTTGACAGCTGTTAGCATTGTATTTTGTACTTTGTTCGTGATCCAGTCGAAATGATTTTTATGACTGAATTGTTTCAAAGTATTGTCGCAAAATGGACGTAGCTTGTAAGATCCATGAGCGTTGCTAGTGAATAATATCTTTGATTACCAGAAATTGCCACTTGTCTCCATTAGCCAACATGAGGGTTCCTGTATTAATTAATCCCCCTTGTAGTTAAAGAACCCTCCTAAACCCCTCTAAAACTATAAACATGTACCTGGGGAAACGCTTATTTTTGCGCCCAGCTTAAATGGATAAGGGAGACACTATATACTCATCCATTCACACTAAATGACGTGAATTTGGATCTAGGCTTTCTGTATCGTTTTGTTGCTGTTTAATTTTACTATGCCAGTATTTTCAGATATAACATTCCTGAAAATTCATACCAAAAATAGAACCTCAAATGAGATATGAAGCGAACAATCTAACTAACCAAGATCGTCGCATCCAAAGTTATCAATTTAGCCGTTCAGAGTGCCGAAAAATTTTGAATCTTTTAGCCTTTCGTCATAATAACTAAGGTGCTGTTGTTGATAGTAACTAAAAGCATTTAAAATTTCTATCAAATAAAGAAATATTTGTAGCACCCCGAAGTGTACCTAATTCTGCACTTTGTAGATTTTGCGTAGTTTAGTTCAGTTGACACCGACTGCACCCATAACAGTTAACAAATTATATTTAATTTGTTTACTCTCTACGGGTGCGTGTCATCTCAACCCAATAAAAGCTGTATAACCAACTTTATTCAAAGATAGATTTTAGTCTAAATCCGTTTATTCTTCGGTCGAGCGCAAGAGTGAATGCCTCGTAGAGGCAAAAAACGTGTCTAGCATATTTTTGGAAGTAGTGTTTGTGATTGTAGTGGCGCTTGTCATCTTTTGCACGGAGAGGGTTGGACAATTAATTACATGAAAAAAATATTCACCAGAAATGCAACTATTCTGAAAATTTAACCTTCACAGAGTTCGTGGAGTAGCAAGTTAATTTACTACCATTTTTATTAACATGGATTTGGGTACAGTTATGCTTGAACCTATTAATCATTATAGTTCATTTACCGTAAATTGCCACCAAAATATAGGTGCTACTAAACTTTAGTCCATGTAATAAATATTCTGGTGTGTAATAACTGGTTTGCATACAGGTTTATTGCAGCGTAAATTAGTGTATTATTATGCGAGGCAGTTGCCATTATGTTGCTTTGCTAACGAGCGTGGTGTCTCTTGCATACAATGTCGTGATATAGGATTGGTGATACACTTGATACTAAATCGCTAGGCATATTCACCAGTAAGAATAAAGTCAAAGTAGGTTCAGATGCCAAACTTACGTAGTTAGTATATTGTGTAGAGATCGTATACTGTATGTATAAGTCCATAGGATATTAGTTCGCATTATGACAAACCTTAGTGGTTTAAAATGCGATTAGAAACATATTTATGTATTTTG